ATTATCAAGCCTGGAAGAAGAAAGCTGGTGCTGCTGTCCTACAGCAGTAACTCTAGGGGGCCTCAGACACTCATCTGGGACCTCTGTAAACAGTCTTCACAGCTCACACTGGAATTTGAAGCCTCCCTTGAATCTGTGAAGCCATGTTTGTTTCACAAGCTCCTTCCAGAGGTAGAAGAGCTAACATTTCCACAAAGCTAGACTGTTGCTTGGAATCGGAACTTGTTTGGTTCCTGAACTTTTCCTGCTTTGATGTGAAGTATGCAGTCTTTGTACTCTGATGGGATAGACATTTCAACACCCAGCACTGAGTATCCTAGTTTAATTCTGAACAGTTCTCTGAATTCTTGCCCCAAAGTCCTAGCTAGTCAATAAGCAAGGACTTCTTGTCCACGAGCAGAAACTTAAATACTATTGTCAAAGTGGAGAAATGGGGAGGTATTTTGGTCAAAGTTTCAGTTATGCAAGAGTAGTAAGTTTTGGAGATCTGATACGTAGCAATATGATTATAGTTAACAATTCTGTTTGTATAAATAGTCTTCAAAAATTCACTGAAAGTGCGTATTATGAAAAAACTATGTGTGGATTAAAACTTTTTGCACCAGAACAAACTTGTATTTTTTTTAATTTTCAGAGAGAGAGAGAGAGAGAGAGAGGGAGAGAAACCACCTCCCAATGGGACATGGCCACATCTCAATCCCTTCTTCCCGTTTCTCCATCCTGCTCAGATTTTGGGTGCACACACGCACACACACACACACACACACACACACACACACACACACAGCTGGTGTATTTTTCAAGCTGCTGGGCTGGGACTTGAACAGTAGTTGGCCATGTGGAATCCAACTTCCTTAACCATTAGGTCAGCTTTGAACTCATACTTTAATTCCCTTTTGTCTTGAACTATTTTTTAAGCGAGTTTTCTTTTTTTTTTTTTTCTCCTATAAGGCATGTGTAGTTGCTGGAGAGACAGAGAGTCAGAAAGAGAGGAATCACCCCATAGAGAGGATGGTTATGCCCCAATCTCTTCTCCTCCATTCCTCTCTAAGGATTTCGGGCACACATACACACGCACCCAATGTGAGTTTTAAGCTGAGTCTGGGACTCAAATCGTGGTCGACTACGTGGGATCCAGCGACATAACCATTATGCCATCTGTTGGCTCCTGCCTTGAAGTTTCCGAAGTCCCCTTGTATACTTGAAATTTGTTAAGAAGATTTTAAATATTCTCATTACACACACTCTTCTCCCCTCCAAAATAAAATGGTAACTGTGTCAGGTAATAGATATGTTAATTAACTTGATTGTGGTGATTATTCCACATTGCATCAAAACAAAGTTGTACACCTAAATATATACCATTTTAATTTGTCAATTATACCTCTAGAAAGCTGGAAGAAAAAGTTTAAGCATAGAAAAATGTAAACTGCCTTCATAGGTGTACGTTTATAGCTCACTGATTACTTGATCTATTTTTAAATAAAAGGGGCTTCTCAAGACCTGGAGAGCCATCGTTTTTAGGCATTACGCCGCAACTCAGCCCAGCAATATTTTACCAAGTGATTCTTTGGCATATTTGTTTGAATCTTTCATTTATTTATAGTGACAGTAACATATCTGGCAATTACCAGTCTCCTCAAAGTCCGATAACCCCAGTTATCTTGTACTAGGCATGGTCCAGTTTTCACGAAGTTAGAAATTAGTATTTGGAGAGAAAATAGAAACGGGGAACATTGTGATTTCAGGCAATTTCCTAATGCAAGTGTGTTTGTGGAACAGCTCTGTCGGCCCTAAGGAGACCGGCGAGCTCACCACAGAAGCTGCCGGGCCAGCTTAGAGGCAGCGATGATGAAAATCCGGAGTTATTTCTGGAGTAGGTGATTGATGCTTCACATCTGAGATGACATTTTGATGGGATCCAGACTTGCTGTGATAGGAGTTAATGAGGATAATGATGATGATAATGATATTTACATCGTACCTTTCTTCCAAAGAACCTTTCAGTTCTTTTATCTCATTTGCGCTGAAAATGTCCCTTTGCAGTTGGGAGGGGAAGGTATTATTAATTTTTTTCAGGAGAGGAAATAGAGAGTTAATTGCCTGGATTTCTGGCTCCATTTTGGTGGTAAGAAGGGATGTTTAATAACCAATTAAACTTAAAGAAATGAAACTTACAGAAACACCCATCCTGTTGTTCCTAGTCATCCTACGCAATGCTGCCAGATCACCCTCCAATAGTATCACTCCCTGACCCTGAAGTCCTCAGGGATTCTCACAGACTGCCGGATTCGGTCCAAATACCCTTACTCAGCAGGCAAGGCCCGTGACATTCCAGCCGACACTGTCTCCCCAAGTTCTTTTATTTACCTTGTGTGCCAGCCAGGCAACTCCACGTGCTTGCCCTATCTGCTGCTCTGAGCATCCCATTCCTTTCGTAATGCTCATCACACTCGCCACGACTTGTTTAACACCTGTCTGCCTTCTTTGCTGTATGTGAGTTCCAGAAAATTAGGGACAGTCAGCCTTGGATGCCCAGGGCCTAGCAGAGCTCACTGGCACATAGTAGGCATTCAGCAAACACTGCTCTGAGGCTTCTGCACCTCAATACGTTTCTCAGGCTGGTCCCTCAGCCTAGAGTGCCTGTGCTCTCTTCTTGGTCTACTGAAGCCAAAGCGGTCCTTCCAAGCCAGATCAAACCTTACTTCCGGTGGTATCTTAATCATCTGTGCACTTGTGTATCATCTTTCCTTGTCCCTCCCAGACTGTCAGCTCTCAAAAGACAGAAGTTGCATCCCCAGAGGCTGGCAGAGTGTGGGCCTGGTTAAATATGTACTCACTTGTCTAACATTGTTGACTAGCATTGTTTATTCGGCACAATTCTCATTTCTAGAATCTACAGCTATTATGCAAGGGTGTTTTTTCTTATTTTCACTTTCCTTCATTCATCTTCACCTTCTTTTTCTTTTTCCTTTTTAACGTTTATTTCTTATGAGAGAAAAAGAAAGAGAAACAGGCATCCTCCACAGCACCTTTGCACCGCGATCCATTCCCAGTCTCAGCTGGCTTAGATCATGGGAACTTTCTGATGTGGGTCCAGTTGTGTTACTGCTGCCTTTCCCTTCACCGTCCCTCATTCTTTTAGAAGACTGGGAGGAAGACCACTCAGGGAGCCCTTGACAACTCTTGCTTTAAAAGCATGTCCGTGTCTCCTCTGTGGGGAGCCCTGTGCTCTGGCACTTAGGTGGAAAGTTCCATTTCCTCCTGGGGCTCAGAGCAGGTCTGCAGGAGTGGTATTTGGCATTTCTTAGCTTCACTGCCAATGCCAACCTAAATAATGAAGCACAGATCAATACAACAACACCGACAGAGAAGTTGTGATTAAATCGGTGACCTCCCAAGGAATTTTAGCACTGGTCTGTGCAGCTGATGACCATTCACACATACCATTCCGTTATGATAAGAATACATCAGATTGACCTGACTCTGGGGCTGAGTGAAAGCTTATCAGCAGCACATTTTTGATAGCCTAAGACCTCTCGCTAATAGCAATGTGGGCGTACTGACCATCTGTGTTATAACACTTGGTATAATTTTGAAGAAGTCACTTTAATATCACATGGTGGACATCTCAGGCTATTAAAATTGACAATGTAAATCTGTATTTATTGAGAGGGAAAGATGCCTACAATATATTACTCGTGAAGGAAGTCGACTACAGAATAGCATGATTATGTAAAATTATTCCACGTTTATATCTGCATCTATTCATAGATGCATAGATACTTTCTGAAATGTTAATATTGATTATCTCTGGGTGACAAAATTTGGGTAATTTTTTTCTTTCCCTTTTTAAACAAGGACACAGAGGAAATGAGAAAGTACTCCCCTACAGGGGAAGGTCACATCACAGCCCCTTCTCCATTTTCCTCTCTTGGAATTTTAGGCCGGCATGCACCCACCCTCTGTTTCTCAAGTCATCAGGTCTGGCACTTAAACCATGGAGTTGGCCATGTGAGATTCAACTGCCTCAACCACCACACCAGAGGCTGGCCCTCTTTCATTTTTACAGTTCTTTTTTAGAATTTTTGAATTTCAGTTTTTACTGTAAACAGTTATTTTTATATTCTGAAAAAACAATACAGCTCTTTCAGCTTGAAAAAAAATTGTTGAAATTAAAAAAAGCTTCATTTAAAGATACTTTCAATTTTCCATGCAGATGCTTACCATTAAAAAAAAAAATCTCTTGCATGAATGAGAAAGTACTTCTCATGAGGCATGGTCACACTGCAACCCCTTCTTCATTTCTGCCTTTCAGGATTTTGGGCACACACGCCCATGGGCCTGAAGTGTTTCTTAAGCTGCAGGGCCCTGTACTTGAAGCATGCAGTTGGCCATGTGGGATCCAGATGCCTTAACCACCACACCATGGGCTGGCCTCCTATTTTTTTAGTGAAAGAGAAAGGGAGGGAAAAGGAGAAGAAGAGATAGGTCTTGTTTTTGTTTTGTGTCAGAGGGTATGTGTGTGTATGGAGAGAGAGAGAACCTCCCCAAATCCCCCAACAGGACCTGGTCACACTACGATCCTTTTTCCTTCAATTCTCTAGTCAGGATCCAGGGCATGCCCTGGCCTACATAGAACTGATGAAGCCAGGGTTTGAACTCCAGTTGGTCATGTGAGATCTGCTTCCTCTGTGCAGCACCTAACTGTTGTGCTACAGGGCCAGGCCCAGAAAGAGGTATTTTTGATAGGGTCTTGTTGCGTTGTGATCCTCCTGGCCTAGCCTCCCAATTAGCTGGGATTAAGGCTGCTATATGCATACTTTTTAAGTGCTTGAAATATCATCTTAATCTAGGTTTTGATGGTAGCTGATCTACACACACCGTCTTCCTAGTTCCATAGACTATAGGATAAGAGACAAAACATCCCATGCCCGATAGAAGAAACGATTGCATCATTCCCCATGGTAGTTTCTGTCACACAAAAGAGACATCCACTGTTGATCACAGAACAACTCACACTTTATTCCATCGTGATTCGTAATACATGTAGGATTGGGACAACAGGAGACAAAAATCAGTGCAGGACTCCTCTGGACTAACGGGCCATGAAAGTCATTACTGGTTTTGGCACACAGAGTGGGTAACCATACATTGGCTGGAACGAGATGGTCAGGAAAATAAAATGCATGATTATAACACCATGTTGAAATTATATGTGAATTCTGTAGAATGTTAAAGAGAAAATAATTTCAAAGACTAACATGCAACTCTATATGTCATACTGTTCATCTACAGACTATTTTCCCCCTTAGAGAAGAAGAAGTGACCTTAGTCATCTGTTCACAGTAGCTTAAAAGATCAATCAATACACATGAACGGAATCTGCCTGCTGATTTCTACAGTGCTCCATCCTAGTTAAAGAAATAATGCTAAGTAATGTAGTTTCTCTATATGGTTTTCTTATTACATTGGATCATGTCGACCAAGTATTTCTGACGTAACTTGTACTTAAATATAACTCCTCTTATCTATGTAATGTCACGAAGCAGTTTCTGTTAGTTCATCTAGCCTTATAAGTCACAATGCACAAGAGGGGGACCTATGTGACAGGCATGGTTCCTTTGCAGAGATAACATGATGCCAAATGAGAACATCAAGGAAGTAATACTACTATGCTGCAAGTACTTCCAGCTTTCTTGTCTTCATATCACAGGGAGTCCAAAGAAGCCGGCCCAGTAGGTGAGACAGCAGGGCAGAATAAGTAGAAGAGGCACACAGAGTCTAAGTGATTTCTTGAGACAATGAGGAAAAAAAAGAGAGAAAGAAGCAAAGGAAAGAAACATGAACAGCTTTTTGCAAAGAAAAGGATAATCTATTCACTTGCAATTGTCTAAACCTATAGAGAGTGATTCCTTAATTTGGAATGATAGAAGAAAGGGAATTGAAAATTCTATGCCAGTCAGCCTGAACTGGCTGATTGGGCTATTTTCACTGTGGTTGTTTTTGAGATGCTGAGCCCTCACAGGGAGAATTTCTGTTTCTGCTGGAGTCATCCAGATTTCACCTGAAAGGGCAACCGTAACTGCTGAGAACAAGTTCTCTTTATTAACTTGGGCATGTGACTAACATTCACTTTCTCTGGTAAAAATGTATTATTCATCCATGATGAGGTGCTTTGAAATTTGACAGTGACCAAGATCTTGTTCATTCACAGGTGCACATATTGGCATGTGATATGAATTTAAAGTAAGCAACAAGGAATTTCTTCAAACTTATAAAATTATAAAATAAATGAAAAAGATAGTGGTTAAATATATCTGGATTTTCTCAGTGGTTCTCACTTCTGTGCGCTAAGGGGGAGATGAAATGAACAAAGGCAATTTTCTCTTGATCATCAACATAAGGAATGTTTGATGACAGAGAGGTGAGCAGAGTGTAGCTTGCAGTAGTATTCTTAATCTCCCTGATTCTTAATCTGAAATGACAAGCCAGAGGCAATACAGGAAAGGTGGGGATGATTGGGAAGTTTGATAACATGCCTGGATCAGTCATTCCTTGGAAAGTACCATTCTCTGGCCCGCTAATAGGCCGATTGGCTTTAAGCAAAAGAATGAGCTCTTCCTTCACAGCAGCATTGTTCTTTGTAAGAGACCTTTGCATCAGTTGAAAGTTGTGTAACTTGAAGGCTGGTGGAGAAAGGCATTTTAATTGAATTCCATAGTCAATGTTCACAGCTACGTTAAAAGTAGAATTGTCCATTGTCTGAAGCTGGTTGTGCTCCTTGACTGTGAGGTGCTGTTTCCTTTGGCTCACACTAATTATAGACACGATTTTCTTTTGAAAGAAATCATTTTACTAGACCAGGGTAACTGCAAGGGGTAGAAGGCTGGAAATAGGGTGAGTCAGGGTAAGGGAAACAGAAATGAGCTGAAGGGAAGAAAAGGCTTTCCTCCAAAGTCAAATATGGCCAGTAATGAAGAAAAACTCATAGAATGTGATTTAGAGGCTTTCCACCATGGTTATCTGTGGCTGTTTCCAAGCTCCTTGATTTGAGATCCCTTAGCAACTATCTGGGGGTGAATTTCCCTTCCTAGGTGTGGTGACCTACTTCTTGTGGAATTCAGATCTCCGGGGCAACCTTGTCCATGTAGCTAACACTCTCCCAAACAGTTGTTCCCATGTGGGTCACAGTTCCTCTGAGGTGCCTGCTTGCCCTTGGAGTGAGAGGGAGGTTTGGGGACAGCAGATGTAGCTGTGAGGCAGAGGACACCAATGGCAGACATTGGGACCTGCAGGAAGGTATTCAGAAGGCAAGACCTTGACTTTTACCCCAGGTCAAGGAGGCCATGATAGAAGGGAAAAAGGCAAGAAAAAAAAAAAAGTGACTGGATAGAAAGTTTTCAGAGTTCTGAAGAAAATTAGAGTAAGGGGGAAGGGTCCTCGGGCCAGGGAATTTTACAGGAACCAAACCAAACATGATTCATGATATAGAGGAAAAAAAAAAAAATCCAGCTTATCTGACTGATCAAGAAGACATTCTTCAGAATATATTGGCAACTAAACGATTTTCACATTGATAACATACAAACACTAAAATGAGTGTTTCCTTACTATTAGTAATCACATTTCAATGATTCATTAGCTCTATATTTTCTAGGTTGCTGAATTCATTTAGCAAATCCACAGTTTAGGTACCACCGTGAGGGAGGGAGGGTGGGGGTACAGAGTAAAACAATTAAACGTAGAATTAAATTTTTGTAAACAAGAGTTAGTAGCACAGTGGCACAGTAGATTGTCAAGGAAAACAACAGGAGTGGGGACAGAGTCGTGGGCCTTGCCTGTGCAGTCTTGCCGGCTACCAGGGAAGGACTTGGGCTCAAGAGTCCACCTTCTTGTTAATAAAAACCGAGGAGCAGGTGAGCAGTCCGTCCACCTTTTCCAGTTCAGAATTGCTCACAGGGATCAGCATGTGGTCCTTCAGTTTCTCATAAACCTACAGTGAGAATGAAGGGGACAGGAGAGGAGAAAGGTTATGTTCCTGCCTGTCTTACCACCTCATGTGCAGACAGTGAATTTAACCCCGAGATATACATGCAACCTAGACCACCCACTAGGCCCCAGCCTGCCCCACAGAGCTAGTAGCAATGGGTTAACCACCACTCTGTGCTTTAACCTCACAGCCAAAGATGTGTCAGAAATGAGGCTTTGGTAGTGATCCTTAACCCTGCCTTTGCCATTGATTAAGTGATACATGGAAGCTGGTGGCCATATGTTCAGTCTGAATATTGCTCTCTCTCCATACTTGGAAATTCTGCTGTCACTTTAAATGGTTTTGTTCCTTACCAACACCACCAAAAACACTTGACAAATTTTAATTTAAGGGAAGTGTTTCAGGTGAAACTGCTTTTACATTACAGGTGTGAATTTTATACCATCTTTTGACACTAGTAAAAAACATGTCTGAAAATTTCAAACTAACAGCCCAGAGGTTTTTCTCTAATGATCAAAGTACATTTTTAAAAATAAAATCACTTCATAATATACTGTCTTAAAACAATCTACCAGGTTCATCAGGAAACACTATGTTCCTTAAAATTTAGTATACTGGCTTAATTAAGAGTATTAGAAGCAGGTAGAGTTTGGTTCTAAACTCAATTTGTCAACTTCCTATTTCAGTCTCAGTCAAGTACATCCCCTTTGAGACTCTGTTTACCTCTATGTAAGGTTGAAATGATAATACTGTCCTCACAGGGCTAAATAAGGACTAAATAAGATAATGCATGCAGCATGCTTGGCACAGAGGAAGCCCCAGTAATCAGGGATGTTATTAATGTTCTGTTACTATTGACAGACAGACACAGGGTTGCATTAGGATGCAGTTCATGGTCACCTGGTTGTCAGGTGACACAAGTAGCTGAAAAGACATAAATGATCCAGAGCTAGATTTCTCCAAGTGAGCTCTGTGGCCTGAGTGCTTCATATTATAGCATCTAGGTGAGGGGCCCAGGAACTTGAGTTCTTTTTTTTTTTTTTAAAGAGAGTTTTTAATTTTTTTTTTTTTTTTTTTTTTTTTTTTACTGGGAGGTGTTCACAGAAAAATAGGGAGTGTATGCTTGCCAGAGAAACAGAGAGAGACAGAAAGAGAAAATGAGAAATCACCCAATGGATGGATGGCCACGTCGCAATCCTTTCTCCTCCATTCTCCTTTCGGGATTTTGGGCACACACGCACACACACCCAGTGTGAGTTTTAAGCCACCGGGTCTGGGACTCAAACAGCGGTTGGCCATGTGGGAGTCCAACATCCTTAATCATCCTGCCACCTACCAGCCCCCCAAGGAACCTGAATTTTTTATAACCTTGATGCACCTTAAAGTATGACACCTACTCTTCACCTAAGAGCTGGCTAAACTCCAGTGTGGGTCAGGAGTTCCATATTTTCCTCAAGTTGACACTTTCAGCCATGGAAATGATCTGTGTATCACCCTGACTTTTCTCTTTATCTGCTAAGAGGGAGATTCTGATTAAGGATAAATCTGGTAATTATATAACATTGCATATTTGAGAGGTGGTATAACATATTTTCTAATGTTTTCAAAGCTTAAGAAATGTTGAAAAGAAAAAGATCAACGGTATACTCTAAGTGTTTAGCTGTAATGCTTAGTATGAACATCTCGTTTCTCTGGACAGAAACGAAGATGCTGAAGTGCCTAGAAGATGCAGACACTGGCAAAATGTGTAGACAAACACGGATGCATGGCTTGGTAGTATGCAATTGAAATTACTAAAGCACAGATGAGACTGGCAGAGACAAGGAAGATTTTCTTAGACCAGGATGGGATTCTAGATTCAGGAATAACTACCATGTTGAAACACACACGCAGAGACTCTTAGAGGGACCAGTAGGCTGATTCCAAGCAGACCCTGTTTCTTTGCTGTATCTTTTCACTACCGAGGATGTTCAGTCACCTCTTTTTTGCAGCTCTGACAATGAGTACCTACCTCTCTGGGTCATTCACACTCCTCTGCCTTTTGAAATAAATGACCCTCTGCAGAGGGGCAGCTCAGATCTGTCAGAAAACAATGACACCATAGACCGTCTAATTGAAGGTTTTTAAGCCTAATGAATATCTGACTGTGGGAAGGTACATTTAATCAGAGCCAGAGCATAGACCAGGGCAATCTGAGTACTTATTTGAAAAGCTTTGAATAGAGGCACTATCATCTCAACTACTATGCACGCATTAGTGACCAATAACATGAAAGAAAAGTGACCTAAATAAACTTTCCCTGTGCCCTAAATTATATGATCCTTTCTGCTTTCTTAATGGTTTGACATGAAGAGAGAAAAAGGAAGCCCCTATTTGTCACTCCTTCAGGAAAGGATCCCCAGGGAGGCCTACTCAGCTGGTTTTTACCTTTGCACTTTCTGGATACTCTTCTGGGGTTCGGTGCAGCAAGACGTGCCCTTTGCTGGGGATATTTAGATATATACAGTTTGCAGCCATGTCATCAGGCACAGTGAGTTTGTCATAGCGGTGGTCACTCATCTGTTGCATGATCTATGAAATGAAACAAAGCAGTCTTAAGCAGAGTGTCACCTCGCACTTTCATACAGAAGGAAGGCAGTGTGGTGGGACTCAAGCTTGCAGCGATTGCTCCAGGCTCTCCTCTATTCACGTTCCCACCTAGAACCACCAGTCACTTAGAACCAGAAGAGGAAAACCTGGTTAAGCTATAATTCTTTGAAAGAATTGGAAAGGTTCTTCTTTTTCTTCTTTTTTAAAGTTTATTTATTTATTTCCTCATGAGCAAGAGAAGGAAAGGGACAGAGACCTCACCACCTCCCCCAAACACTGACCTTGCAATTCACCCTCAACTTCAGCCAGCCCTGGCTTATGGGCATGCACACATCTGGGATAGTCAGGGAGGTCTCTAAGCACAAACCCAGGACCTCTCACGTCTGTCAGCCTTGGAGAACATCGTGCTATACCACTGTGCCACCAATTGGCCCTTGTTCTTTTACAGTATGTGTTTGTCTCTAACTTTTTTTTTTTTTAAGGTTTTAATACTATTTATTACTCTTTTAGTTTTTGTTCATGAGACCTCTCAGTAAGACACAAAATGGTCACATATACTAAATACCTGGCAGTGGATGATATCCTAGGCTCAATTAACAGGGCTGCACTATTCTATAGGAAAGGAGGGCCATAGCAGAAATCAGAATGGTCAGTGTCTGGTTTAATCAATGACCACACGTGTACACACAAAATTTACTTTTCCATATACATTTAAATTGAATTCACTCACCTATTAGCAGGTGCTATCCTTAATACATTGAGTATAAAAATCATCAGGGGAGAGTGGTAAAGTCACCTCCGAGGTCTCACCCCTAGGGTTCTGGTTTGGCAGATGTGGGGTAGGCATAGGGATTTACAGTTTGAAAGCCCTCTGGATAATTCTGAGGCAGCAAATACCTGGACCACAGTTGGAGAAAAACTTTACTCAGCAAATCTATTCTTCTAATGGTAAGTTTATTACTGCCTTAGTATAGACTTAAAAACAAACAAAAGTGATGGGACTGGCAGATGGTGTAATGTCTACGTTGCTGGACTCCCATGTAGTCAACTGCGGTTTGAGTCCTGGACCCGGTGGCTTAAACTCACGCCGGGTGCATGTATGTGCGTGCCCAAAATCCTGAGAGGAGAATGGAGGAGAAGGGATTGTGGTGTGGCCATCCCTCCTGGGGGGTGATTTCTTGCCTTCTGTCTCTCTGTCTCTTGCTGTCTTTCTGGTGAGCACACATGCCCAATAGCAAAAACCTCTCCAAAAAACAAACAAACAAAAATGAACCTTGTGATTTTGATACCTCATCTATAGCTCCTCAACACAATCAAAACAAATCTTCCCTCCACTAAAAAAAAAATCCCCCCAAACAACAAAAATATACAAACACTGAAAACAATGGCAAGTATGATTTTGGCAAGCATTATTAGTCATGCAGACTCTTCCTTCCTGATCGATAGCCACATGTTTTAAGGAATCTGCTGAAATGTCATGCCATGATCTTTCCACAATCTGATCTAGCCTACCTTTTCAACCAGTTCTCCTTTGACTTCAGTATTTATTTGGAAACACGCTTTCTATTACTAGCTGAACCTGCCCACTCAGTCACGGTGGCATTGGATAGTAAGATTTATGGTTAGGAAGAGTGGAAGAAGATAGAGCTGAAAGATCAAGAAAAAAATTTGACACTGGCCCACAGATACATTGCAGACTGTTTTTAAAACAGATTTTAGTGGGGCGAAATTATTATATATTTTTTTTCTTTTTCCTTCAGCTTTCTATTAGGAAGAGTTTTATGTTGTTTAAAAGATATTTTGAATAGGGGCTAGCAGGTAGCATGGTGGTTAAGGGTGCTGGACTCCCACATGACCAACCATGGTTCAAGTCCTGGACCTGGTGGCTTGCTTTCTCATTCTCCCTCTTCTCTTTCTCTCGCTCTCACACACTCTGGTCAAATTAAAATAAATAAGTAAATAAAGTTAAATAAAATAATTCTTTTTAAAAAAGGTATTTTGAATAACTTAATATGATTTTTGGGCTCAGTCTTTATTCCTTTGCTCCAGTATTTTTACCCCTCATTTTAAAGAACTGCTTACCTCTCTTATTTATTTTAAAGGTGATTTTAATTTTATTTATTTATTTATTTATTTTAGAGGTTTTTGTCATAGGGTGTATGCTCTCACCAAAGAGAAACAGAGACAGAAACAATGAGAGGGAAAGTGAGAAATCACCAGGGGGTGGCATTGCTACAGTCCCTTCTCCTCCATTCTCCTCCTGGGATCTTGGGCATGAATGTATTCACACCCTGCATGATTTTCAAGCCACAAGGTCTGGGACTTGACCTACAGCTGGCCACGTGGGAGTCTAGTGACATAACAACTATGCCATCTGCTGGTCCCAGGTGATTTTTAAAAAAAGACTTGTGTAATACATTTTGAGGTGAAACTTAGTGGATTTTTTTTCTGATAACTTAGAGCATTTAATTGACTATTTTCTCTAAATTGATCTGTTGAATATTTGCTTAAGACTAGTTCCTTAAGTTATAACATTATGAATCCCAAACGGCAGTACCTCATTTTTTTTACTTAGCTTTTGTACTTATATTTTAATTGTACTTTATTTAGGTATTTACTACTTAGACTACTGTAAATAGTCAATACGTAACTGTATTGTATGTAAATCTGTGACTGTTGGCAATGTCATCCAGAAGAACAGATAAAGTTTATTTACTGTAAAAAAAGAAAAAGAAAGAAAATTCTGTCCCAACAGAGTATGAAGAGTGGCACTCAGTAAGCCCTTCCTGACCCACTGATTGGGTAAATCATTCTCTTCTCCTAGTGAGAAATGTGCCAACAGGGCAGAGAGGCCAGGGCGACCCTGGGAAGGAAAGTCCCTTCACATAGAAGGAAATAGAAGAAATGGGGATGAGCTTAAGCAGCATCTAAAAGGCTGAGAGATACAAAGATGGCAGGACATAAACCCAGAATCCCAAAAGATTAGTGTAATGCAGGTGGCTGACAAATAGAGAATTTTATAATAGGAACAAACAGGGAACTATGCCAAACATTTCATGTTTATTATTTAGTCTCAAACTTTTCATTTTACAGATGAAGACATGGTACTGAGAGAAGCCATTTAACTTGCTCAAGTTTGTACAAGCAGTTTCAAACTCAGATCTGTGCAACAAAACTTTTTTTTTAAAGAGAGATTTTTTGCTATAGGGCATGTATGCTTGCTGGAGAGACAGAGAGCTACAGTGAGACAGAAAGTGAGAAATCACCCCCAGGTAAGGATGGCCTTGCTGCAATCCCTTCTCCTCCAGTCTCCTCTTGGGATCTTGAGCACATATGCACACACACACACACACACACACACCACACACCACACGGCATGAGTTTTCAAGCCAGGACTTGAACCATGGTCAACTATGTGGGAGTCCAGCAACATAACCATTATGCCATCTGCTGGTCCCTCAAAACCTCCTTAATTATTACACCTTGTTTTCATTTCTGACTTCCAAAGTAGCAGCTCTTCTCCTACAAACTGCTATAGCTACTTTTTGGTACTTATTTGGTATTTATTATCTTTTCTTTCAGTGCCATTAATTCTTTTTTTTTTTTTTTTCCAGGTATAGTCTTAGTAGGACATGGTGCAGTCTGGTATAGCTAAAGGACTTAATTGGATATCTCTCTTGCATTTTCACATTTATATTGCTCTTTGAAGGGATGGACTCACAATGTAAATCAACTGTGGGGTGGGTCCTTTTTCAGAGCCCTGAATGAGAAACCTTAGATCTATTCCAACCTGAGGGCAATTAAGAAATTAAAGACACTCTTGGGAACCAGCAGTTAGCGTAATGGCTATGTCGCTGGACTCCCACGTTGTCAATCGTAGTTCACGTCCTGGACCCGGTGGCTTAAAACCCATGCTGGGCGCGTGTGCATGCGTGCCCAAGATCCCAAGAGGAGAATGGAGGAGAAGGGATTGCGGCGTGGCCATCCCCTCTGGGGGGTGATATCTCACTTTCTGTCTCTCTGTCTTTCTCTTGTCTGTCTGGCGAGCGCACATGCCCTATAGTGAAAAACCTCTCAAAAAAAAAAAAAAATTAAAGACACTCTTAAAGATGAAATTTTCAAATCAAATTAACAACATATTCAATTTAGCCCTTTCTATAAAGTCAATACATCCAGAAGTAATATGAAGAAGCTTAAGAGAAAAGAATCCAGACTTGAGTAGCTCTATTCTATTATAAATTACTTTTAAATAATCATTTAATTTGTTATTATTATTATTATTATTATTTTTAAAAATTTGATCTTAGAGAGACAGAGGGAAAAAGTAAGAATGTAATCCTTCAGGTCCAGGACAGGAACTGCGGTCACCAATGTGGAAGTCCAGTGCCTTAACCACATACCACCTGCCAGCCCCTAAAATTAATATTTTTTAATGAATTATTTAATTTTATTATTATTTTTTAATTTGGCCAGAGAGAGAGAGAGAGAGAGAGGGAAAGTGAGAAAGCAAGCCACTAGATCTGGGACTCCAGCTGTGGTCTGCCATGTGGGAGTCGAGGACCTTAACCCCCATGCCACCTGCTGGCCCCATGAATCACTATTTAATGACTTCTTATACATATTTTCTTTTTGTCTGCTTTCAAAGCGCACGCAGAATAGCTTCCATTTATTATGGAATTATAATGCTCCAGAAAGGAGCATTATTTAGACCATGAGTTCTGAAGTCAAATCTGGGTTTGAGTCTGAGCACCAACTATTATTTGTTGTGCAAATAATAAGCTTTTTTTTTTTTTTTTAACCTTTTAGTTTCTTCATCTATAAAACTGGAATAATAATAGTCTTTCATGTACTTACTTTGAAAGTGAAATAAAGATAATGCATATAGTAAGAAACAGTAATAAAGATGATAATAATAAACAGCAATAAACACAAATATAAACAGTAATAAAAATGGCAGCTTAACCAAACAAATGAGATTCATG